GACGGACAGACAGTCACCGCTTAATCGATTTCTCTTTTCATTCTGATCATTTATGTATACATTTGTCTATATCTATCTCGATTCGTTTTGCCTGTTACAAACAACCGTTATGTGAACAAAGTTATAATACCCTTGTGCACAAGTGCGCTCGGGTATAAAAACCCACAAGTCCACCGTTGTCCCATTTACCAAAAGAAGGAAACTCAACTTGACTAAACCCACCTTGGCAGGGACAGAAATTGAGTTCTTAGAACAGACGAAGTATTTGGGGGTAACTCTGGACAAAAGGCTAAATTGGAATTCCCATCTCCTTAACGTTACCAACAAGGATACAAGGGCGTTTTATGCCTGCCATAGACTCCATGGTAAAACATGGTATTTCAGTACGGCCGTGAAACCCGTTGTCATATATGCGGCACTAGCCTGGTGGCCAAAAGCAAAGAAAGCAAGTGCGGGTGCCACCTTGGGAGAGCTACACCGCTTGATCTGCGTTTCCATCAGAGGAGCTATGCGCACCTGTCCAACGGATGCGGTATAATTGCCGGCATTCCTCCTCTATCTATTCTGATAGAAAAGGAGGGCTGCTGGAGCAAACTACGGCAGCCTAATGTAACCAGCATGAAGAATGGAGATCCTTGGGGTCACTTAATGTGCTCAAGCCTTTTCTGGATGATCCCGCTATCAAGTTCACATATATTATACTACCGAAATTATCCTTTGACAAGCCCTACAAGGTCAGAATTCCTAAAAGGGACTGCTGTGAAGCGATAATATCTATGATTGAAAAAGGGTCCCAAGTATGGTATACCGATTGATCAAAGATGGAAGACGGGAATACTGGGGTGGCCTGGTTGGACCAAGGTTCCAGAAAACTCGGCCAATGGGCTCATACCCAGCTATATACCAGGCGGAAGTCTTCGCAATCGAAATCTGTGTTCGAGAATGTAGACGGACAAACGGGGCCGGAATAAATATTATGTCGGATAGTCAGGCAGCACTAAAAGCCTTAGACTCATTTAGAACGAAAACAAGGCTTGTGGGCAGTTGTAAAACTCTTCTGAACAGCCTAGAAGCTCATAATAGAGTTACGATGTGGTGAGTCCCTGGGCAAGAAGGGTTTGAAGGCAACGAAGGCATGAATGGTCCCGAGCCTTTCTGCGGTACATGTAGAGGATACACTGCAGAACTGCTTAGGAGTTAGGAAGAATCTCAGATTGCTGCTCACTGGCGTAAGTCAAAGGGAATGAGACAATCAAAGAAATGCATAACTCCTTCCAGAAGTAACTCAGAAATACTCCTTGAACTCAGCCGGGAGGGGCTTCGAACTCTTACAGGACACAGCAAGTTAGGTATCATCTGAACGAAATTGGGGCTTTCTGTGGACATGGACTGCAGGTTTTGCGGGGGGAAGAAAACCTCCCGTCGTAATAATAATATTAATACGTAAAATTGAGTGATCGGGTTTTGTAGGATTTATTTTCATCTTTATATATATAGTCCTTTCTAGTCCTTTCAGACTTGAGAACATTTACATATATGACTTACAATATTTTCAAGGATTTTATGTAACTATGTGTAACTACTTTGCGCCGACGGGTTATTGGTATTAGAATTATCATTAAACCATGAAACGAGTTGCAGGTGCTGCTTCGAACCTATTAGCCTTGTGTTTATCTTTCATAGGCTGAACGCTTCACTTTGTCAGGCTCCTATATAAGCAGTGGCAAAAGTAGTAATTGATATCCGAATTTACTGAAATTTGCCATGGAAATAGTAACTTTTTGTCATATTTTATAAGCGGCCAAAACTAGTAAAAATTAGCTAGACAAATTTGGAAAAATTGTAATGCCAATCGACAGTTAATACTCGAGTATAAACAG